CTTATGTTTCTCCCCTCCCATATTTAATTATGGGCTAAACACAGATTCTGTGGCCAATTAGCAAAGATTTATACAGTGTTGGCCTCCCAGTGTTGAGAAAAGACATAAGGGCTTGTCCGTGTGAGTTCTAGTTCCAGCAGGCCAGTGAAGCCTAGTGGCTGTTTATCAAACATACATAAATTACACATTTCTTTCCCATGTTACATAAATGTGGCTCGTCCACCTAAGCACAGGCCAGTAATAACTGTCCAATCAATAATCTGTCCCATCAATAATCTGAAGACACGTCATGGTTCCAAGCTCCCCGATGTCGCTGTTATACTAGCCAGATCTTGGATGCTTGCTCTTCCTATCATTAGCCCTAAGCCCTCACAGGCTTGTCAATTGTCACCATTTACCCTGACATTCTCAGGAGGTTGGCTCTTGCTCAGCATGACAGAAAAAATAACCCCAAAATGACCAATTTATTTACAGTTCATTAGTTCAATCAATCATACACTCAAATACATTAAGATCCTACAATAATCTGAGATTTAGTAGCGAACATGTGTATGATATCTACAAACAGAGCCTGGTTTGAAAATTGACAGGCAGCCTTTCCTGTTGGGAACTACAGAGTCCAAGTTCTGTTAACAGTTCAAAGTTGCCCTGCTCCCATTTCCCCTTTGCTCTCAAGGGAAATCCCATAAATTTAATATTTGTGGTGTTTGTCAGGTCTTCAATCCCTAAGACGTTGGTACTTTCTCTGCCACTGCATCTGCCCGGGATGTTAAGTCACTTTTGAATCTGATTGTCACATCAGATACTGAAGCCTGATTTCCCTTCACAAACACCAAGCCCGGTTTGTACAATTCATCCTGATTATCTCTCAGCAGTGGTTCTTTAAAACCCACCCATTCCTTCCTTTTTGCTTGTTCCACCAACACATCACACAGTTGGTTGTGTCTTTTAATTCTGGCTTCCTGTATCACACAGCAGTGTAATTCTATAATATGCAAAGAGGTTTCATTCTCTGCTTGACGATGCCGATACGATTCAATTTCAGTTTCCCTTCTGCCCCTTGCCAGGAATTTTCATGTGGGGTAGATGTTCGCTCTCAGTTGTATGGCTGTAATCAGCTTCCTGTGGGGAACGCCTCGATAATGTTCGATCCAGCTGTTACGGATTTTATCCTTCTCAAAGTTAGAAATCCCACAGCCCGGGGACAGCAATGTGGTCCAATTTATAAATTCCTGTTTACATTAGTCACAAGGTCTCAGCCTGTTTACACTAGTCACAAGGTCTCATAAAAATTACTTTTGGTGTGAACTTTTCTCAGCCCAAGACTGCTCCCTCACCCCTGTTTCTTCAGATACCACCGTAATTGCTTTTGGGTTCCAAATGGATGGCATTTGTCCTTTTCACCTCCAGCTAATCCATAATTTGTCAAATTCCTTCTCAAGACCTTCCTGCTGCACAACTGATCTTACCGTCTCAGCTGAAGACTGCGCAGTTCTGCGCAGTCTTCAGGCTTGTACACTGGGAATTAATCCCACATTGTAGAGAAAAGACACGAGGGCTTGTGAGTGTGAATTCCAGTAGCTGGGCAGCAGAGCCTAGTGGCTACTGTTTAGGTAGTCTCTAGTTCATGGCTGGTGAATTAAGGCTCCTGGGTCAGTGGAGAAAGGTGGGTGTTGGGAGAAAAAATCCAAAGACTTCTCCATCAGGAGAAAAATCAGAAAAACCAGATTGTTAGGCAGAGAAAAAACTTTGTCCTCTCTGCTGGAAAAAACAGACTTTGCGTTCACTTGTTAAATTTCAGGGTATCTACAGAGGTGATACACCATGAATCTGTAAGAAAGCTTCAAGTAGAGTATGAACGCAAGTTATAAGATACAAATCTTTAAGAAAATTATCTTAATTAATTTAATATACACAGGACTGTCTTTTCTGTTCTTTAGTATCCTTTCTTTCCATCCAGAGGTAATTATTGATCCTTTTCCATCTAGGCTGGTGCTCCTCTTAAGATCACCCTTGTAGTGGATATGACTTGTAGATAGCATTTGTACTTTTAGCCCCCATCTCCTCCACGTCGTACACATGCTTAATATTTATAACCACGAGCTAAGCTTTCAAAGTCTGTCCTTTCAAATCAGGGAATTCCTGTTGCAAACATTTATTCTCCTGATCGATTCAAAGCGAGTGATGAGCTTACTCAAGGTTATTTCCTGCCGGCAAGTCTCTCCCGATATTCTTGCTGTTTGTTGTGGTTACTCAGTGTTGTGAAGAACCCGTTACTTCCCTTATGAAGAAATACATGCAATCCACCATTTTCAGCATCATGCTGGTTTTAGTTGATTTTTTTAATACCTCATGCTCTTCCTGCTTCTAAATGCTATTCTACCACATTTCAGTTATCCCTCAATTAACCATTGTCACATCTTGGATCAGCAGCTTAAGTTTCTTCATCTAGTGGTAATGCTGCAGCAATCTTGGGCCTTCTCCTGGACCCTGGAAAGGAGTAGAAATTATTTTCTCCCATTCTTCTCATAACTTCAGACCTTTGTTTTGTGGCTTTTCTGTTTTCTGTGTCTTCTGAAGCTATGGAAACTGGCTACAGCAAGAAACAGGATGTTAGGGAGGGAGGCTGGATTCCCTAGTTACTGAGAAATATCGCAGGCATCTAACTCGTGTGCTGGTTTAAACCAACTGCCAGAGTTGGGTCAGGAAGGAATTTGGACTGGCAGGGTTCTGCACTCATAGAAACTTCAAAGCATTCTCACTTCTCAAACTCCTTCCTGTTACACAGATAACGATCTTTCATCCTTTGACATACTCTAAGTTGGATATGAGGTTAGGATGCCATTGTATGCATGGAGTAAATACTTCCCATGACCTAAGTGTCTGCTACGCAGGTTCCCTGGGACTGCACGGGAAGCACTTGGTAACTCAGGTGATCCTTTCCTGTTTGCTCTTTGACTTAATACCCAAGTTTTTGTCTTGCCAGTTACACTCAATTTCTGAAAATTTTCTGACGGGTTCCCTCACTGCCAATACTTTCTCCTTGCTGCTCATCCTCTAACCCTCTTAACAATTCTTTAGGAATTGCCTTATGCCTATTCCAGACTCCTCATCCTGTTACTAAAACAAGTGAGACAGATTACAAACAATGTTAATTTAAGGAGTAAAAGACTTCAGTAAATGGGCACATTTGCATTGATTCCTACCCCACAGTTCATTATACATATATGTATTTTTGTTGAGTCCCTCCACTGGGTATTCTGCTGGCAGGCAGATATTCCCCAAATTACTTATGTTGCTGTGCCTTTGATCTCTTCTCCAGCGCCGGAAAGGCTTCTATCAAATATTACCACGAGCATCCATTTCCTTACTCTCTAGTCTCCTTCAATGTAGGTTAATTCAAGTGAAGTTACTTGCACAGGAACAATTCTAGTTAATTCTGTACTTGAAGAAGTCTTTCAAAACTAGAATTACTCTGAAAACCGAGTTACAGAGATCGAATCCTACAACTGTTTCTCAGCCCACATTTGACTAAACGTGGTCTTCAAGTGTTTGTGACAATATTTTAAACATTTAACTTAAAAGAAACGTGACTTGGATCAAGGGAAGAAAACTAAGGATATTGGTTTTGAAATGTACAACTACAGACTGAGTGTAAAATCTCAGGGTTGTTGGCCACCCTCTTCCTGGCTGGAGATGGAGAAGATAGATAAGATAAACTTCACTTGTGATAGCTTGGAAGGGGCTACGTCTTGAAACTGTCAGTATGCTGTTATTTCAGGGATGAGTTCAGTAGGTGAGCCTGCAGCCAGCAGGGATAGCACCAGACGTAAGACTGATGTGTTCCCAAAGTTTCCTGCAATACCTGTAGAGGCAGGGCGCTAGCAGAGAAGTTACTAGTACAACAGGGTGTTTCCCAAGGACGGGAGATGATTAGCAGAGCGGCATTATCATCACTGTATGCTGCCCAGCATACAGATGTATGAGTTCAGCTCCTCCCTGCAGCCTGGGCCAGGGTAAGGCACCACAGGATAGAAGCTCTATTAGTTTGTCAAATGTCTTAATTATACCAAGAATATAAATTTTCAGTCTCCCCCTTTCCTGTATCCCAACCCCAGCGTTTTGGCCAGGAAGGACGCTCTGGCACATTGAGCCCTGGTGACCCTCATATTGTCTCTCACCTCTCAGTGGTAAGACAATTCTCACCACCACAGAGCAGAGATCAGAAGAGCAAGTTAGACTGCTAAAAACTGAATGGAGAAGATATGAGAATGCAGAGTTACAGGTTTGAATTTTTTTTCTTCTGCACTTCTCCACGTGATTTAACCACCTCTTTTCCCTCCCTTCTCTAACCATGCCCTTCCCTGCAGCAAACTCTGTGAGACTCTCTTGATCCACAACCATTGCTCTGATTCCCCCCACCTACTCTGCTCCCAGCCCACACAGTGTGACACCTTCCCGTCAAAGTCTGATATCCCCCTCCTCTCCCTGACACCTACCGAAGGGGATAAGGCTTTGAGGTGCATAGGTGCCACGCAAACAAGATGGGGAGATCTGTCCCAACCCACCCCTGCCCTCACTCTGCACATAAACAAAGGGGCCGAGCTGCCAGCTAACCCAGTACAGACACAGGAATCTGAGCAGGACACTTAACCCAACTTCATTCATTGTATAGGTGAATAAAAAGCCCTTCCATTCCAAATTAAAATCTTCCAGATGACTGCTCTAGAGAAGGCACACCAACGGGTGCAGATTTCACAGCCTTTGTCCAGAATGCAGATTCTGATTTGCTCGTGGGACAGGTGTGAGGGAGTTTCCCAGAGGAATATTTGTCTTGCTGCAGGTCCAGCAATAAGAAACTTCTAAAATTTCTGTTGTTTCATTCTCAGCTAGAGTTGCACCACCAATATTTAATGCAGAATGCTGAAATCTCTTTTTCCTATGATCCCAATGAAGGACTTAGGCATGTTCTGGGCACTGCCCTCCTCTCTTTCTCACACGCTTTTCCCAGCCCTAGGTAATCAGGCCAAGTCAGAATAAGGATGAATGAAGACAGACTCTTCCCAGTAGCTTTTTCTTAGAAGATCAAGGCTACAAAGTCAGTCCAATGTCACCCACAGTCCCACGAGCAGAGTCCCAACAAAAAAGAAAGCAGGAGGGTTGGAACCAGAAGGACCTTCAGAGTCCTGACATCAATGGCTTGGTTGGACAGGTTAGAATCGAGGGGCTCCATAATCATCTGGCATCCTCTCAATATTGTATCTGAGAAAGAAAGAGGGAAAACCTATGAGGACTCTCCTCCCCATGCAGCCACAGGGTTATAAGCAGAATGAGCAAGCTTTGTTGCATTTCTAGCTGCAGCTCAGATCCCCAGGAAGAAAAATATTACTTCCAAAAGTGAAAAGCCTTCATAAGGTTGCTGTTATCCTTCACCTCAAACTCAGAAATCGGACATCTCAAAAACTCACCACCTCTGGAGTACGAAAAAACCTGGTGGTTGGTGGAATCTGCGTTAGGATTCAAGAGCAGACCACCACGGAGAAAAACTCTGGCCATTCAATTTATGATTCATGGGCACAGTGAGTAAAGGGCCAAGATGTTTTGAGAGAAAAATCTTCTCAGCCACGTTCTCACTGTAGATCAGGAAAGACTTTACATATTTATGGCAATCAACCTCCTCATTTCTGACATGCTGCTCTGCCCACATATTACTAGACTCACTGGCTTCACTGCTAGCACAACTGTCTCCTTTCCAGCATCTCTCTTATCCCGTCTGAAGATTCTGGCTGTCTTCTCTCCACGTCCCGACTTCTCTCCTTACCGTGCTACCAAACAGAGCTACCGTACTGTGAAACAGTTTGGCACAGCTCCTGTGCAAGGTCAATCTCCCGCGGCATACATTATGTACAAGAAACATTAAACCGCTGGATATGACATAGAGGGGTGAGTAAAGTCTTCTCAGTCTAGGCTTTACGAGTGCTTCGGAAGGAACAGGAAATTAATTTAAGCAAATGCTTTTACGGTAAACCACTAGTGCATATTAAAAAAAAAAAAAAAACAAGTAAGTGAGCCAGTACTTGCAGATACTAGAAAAATCTGCTGCGTTGAAATTGCTGCACTAGCATCCTTCTGAGTTGGTTTCGGTTTTAATCTAAGAAGTAAATTCCACCTCTCAGCTGAGGGTATGGAAAGCTGCCAAATAGAAAATGGAACAAGAATGGTTCTTTCCCTCGAGAACCTGTAGAATGCACGTGCGTGGTACTCCTGCTGCTGGTAAAACAAAACCTATCTATGGAAACGCTGGCCTCAAGGAAACTAGTTTTCTAGGTAAAAGCGAGTGAATCTACTGAATTAAAAGTGAGTTTGCAACCAGTCTCATCCCAACAGCAGCTGTACTAGTTTTGTGCAAGCGCTAGGCCCTTTACTGCAAACTGCACTGTAGATGATGCAGAGGCCCCTTACCTGTGCCTGGAAATATACATTATAGGCACTCCTGGGATTTTCCGTATTCTCCGCTTGAGCTCTTTATCCACTGTGGCTACAATGTAACATTTGTGCTGAGGAAAAAAAAAAAAAGTGGGTCAGATTCAACATCAGGAGCAAAAGCTTCTCTTCAGTGAGCTCATCTAACACAGGAGAGCTGCAAGTCCTTAGCAAGGCACTACTGGGACTTGTACAGAATTCACAGCCTAGCAACATCCTTCTGCTCATCAAAACAGACGCGTAGAAACATCCAACATCTGTCCAGCCTTCCCAGCTGACAGCTTTCCCATCCTAAGAGCTTCTTGATGCTGTCCTATATGACAAGAATGCTGAAGGAATACTACACAGTGCTTCAACTAAAGCTGTGGTAGGCACTGAAACTGCCCCTGAGTGAGATTTTACAGTTTAGGGGAAATTTAAGCCATCAGTAACTAGGAGGGTTCAGGAATTTTTAGTATGTTAGCGAGTCCAGCACGTTTCAGAAACAGAAATACCTGCGTGACCCTCTGTACCAAGCAGTCATCCGCGTAGGTTCCTTTGTGCATACACGGCAAGCGCTCAAACCGGGGATCCTTGGCAATTCTGTGGGGACACAAGGCAACATCACAGCAGTCTGACCAGAGTGTAGAGTAACAGCGTACTAGAGGAACAGGAGCGCCCCTTTCTGTGATATACGCAGCATGTTATTCGCAAAACGAGTGCTATGGGGATGGGGCGAATGGTGCACAATTGCCAAGTGATATGAGGAGCAAAAAATAGAATGCCGTTTGTCTGGCTAATTCCTACAGATGAAGTGTTTCTTAGAACTTGTTAGGTGGATTCAAGATCCCTACAATGTTGGGCTCTTGCCTAACAGAGAAACTTGAAATAAATTATCTGTGGGAAGAGCTAGAACTCCTTCCGGTATCTGATCATTGGTACCACGCATATAGGAACACTTCACTTCCTCTCCGAAGGGGAACATCAAAGCTGTTGAGGGGATGCACTCGGATACTTTACAACAGGCCAAAATAAACAGTAAAGAGCAACACATCTGACTGGTACACCTGGAAAGCACCAACTACGTTGGACTAGTTTTGCAAAGATCACACAAGAACCTGGCTCTAGATTTTCAGTCCTTGCTACCTACTCCGACAGGAATAACATGAGGCATGAGTGAAAGGTTCGCTAAGACTTAGGTCACTTTTTCATTTTTAGAAGTTTCTATCACTGAAAGTGTACATATATATATAAACAGGAGGAAGTGCTGTTTTGAAAGTCTCAGAGGGGAAAAAAAGCTTTACAGATCAATATTGTGCACTCAGACCTAGCATTTAGTTTTTCAAAAAGTAATCTAAAACTCCAGCCATCATACTGATCTCATACAGCCAGAGAAATAAAACCAAGTTCGGGACTCTGCAACAACCTAAGCACCCTCTAGTGCAAAAGCACCATCGTGGAAAGTGCTTTTCATTTATTTGTATTCAAATATTAAGTTCTAGAAAGAGAGAAGAACACCCTGCACCTACCTTAACGCCACACGGTATTTCTGTCCTAACTTCTCAATTTCACCCATTACACAATCTGTGATGCATGGAATACCTACGTGCAAATAAAAACCTATATTAAAAGCAAGCAGCATGTATTTACAGACCCCTACATATTGGCCACATGCCCAGAAACTATCATGGAACTCTTTTAACATATTACTTACAGTTTTAAACTTACAAGCACTGATACGGTTGCAAAGTGAGGAAACACAGAGCCATTTAATTTGACCATGCCATGGTAATTTTAGACTTTTAAATTACTAACGCTTCACCTTTGTTGAGATTAGCATTTAAGACCACTGTTTGGCTGAAACCAGAGACAGTTCCAGGATTACCACAGCCATGCACAACGAGCTCGACGATTACAGCACATACACTTTTTTCAGATTTCTGGTACTCTCAGCTAGTGGCACGAGTCTGATAAAGCACATCATGAGCACACCCTAGCACTCTGTGGTTCTGAAGAATCTGCGAGTGACGCAGACACTCACACTTGGCATAGAGACAGTCCATCATTGACTGCACTAGATCCAGCTTGGCCTTGATGGAGAAGTTGATGAAATTAGTGTCAACCAGGATGTGATAAGGGGGGCCCAACTGCGTATTGTACTGGAAGAACAAACAAGAGGGATGCTGGGGCCTGCCAAAAAGACAAAGAATTTAAATCAGTTAATTGCAGTTAACAACGTATGCAATCCTACAACTTGCCCAGAATGAAAGAAGGGTAACGAACAGAAACAACACAAGGCAGTATGGAATGGTGACCTGTCAGACATCCTGCCACCTTCCAAGCCCAATCCCATGGTTTGGGGCACCAACTTCCTACTCCGACAGTTCTGCTCAGAAGCACCCTCGGCTGCAGCGTGGCCGGCCGGCCCTCCCTCCCCGAAGCGTCGGCAGCACTTACACCTCCCGCTCCTTGATGGCACTCGGGTCCTCTTTCTTCTTCACGCGGGCTTTCGCGCGCTCCTTCTCGTTTCTGCGAGGAAACACAGGCACTAGTGGGAGGATGACAGAGAAGGGCGGCCAGCGGCGGAGAGGCCTGGGCCGGCATGCCCTCCCGCTGCGGGACGCAG